TGTCTGTCTGTCTGTCTGTCTTTCATTGTATCGTTATTAATCTATTTAACTTATACTAGGAATTCTTGTAGAGAAGGTGGAAACCCAGCATCTTGGACAGTTTGATGTAGAACATCTCTTACAAGGTAAGTGTTGCATGTGAAGTTTTTTGACTAAAGCACAGGTGCAGAACTATATTCCAGATGTGAGTTATAATGATTCCTTGAAGGTCCTGTTAGAGACAGCATTACCAAAGATATATTTGATTTAAATATTAACAGTAGTTAAATGATCCCAAGAAGGAAGAGCAAATAAAACGTTACAATGTGGATAAAATCCATGGTCACGTGATAAACTTTCACTGAGATTGAGGCCATTGCCCTGGTTTCCACCAAACATCCTGCGCCTTGACTCTTGAAATCACTGTTCTCCTCCACTGGCAGCAAACAATGCAAAGAAAATATTTCAATCCACTATCGGCAATGAATAACTAAGTTATACGTACGCTATCAATGTACTATAATTGTGCTTGTACATGTTGTGGCCCACCAGCGGCCACCGGAGCTGGTGGCAGACTGAGATAGTAAGCAGGTTGGGGAGGAACATGGGCCAGTCCTGGAGTCTGGTGAAGGTTCTGATGAGGGCTCTGTGTTGGAGGCAGAGATAGGGCCAGGGCTGTCTGACAGTTATCAGCTGCCTTTGGAGTCAGACATCAGTCAGACAGACCGACAGCTGCAGCCTGTTCCCAGTGTGCATAGTGCGCAGAGTTGCCAGAGGAAAGGAATAGTTAAGGAACAAGGGCCAACTTGGGAGTAAAGGAACAGGTGGACAGTGAATGGCCCCTCCCATAGGCAATAAAAGAGGAGCCAAAGGGGAGGGAGGTTTGCAGGAGACCATTAGTTCATTCCTGCATTCTTGCCAAGTACTACGGCATCTGAAAGACTCTCTCCAAGCCTGATAAAGCCTGATAAAGGTCGGTAATTGTGAACTATCTTGAAAGACTGTGGGAGAGGAAAGACTTTGCTGGGGAGGAATTCACCGTAAATTAAATAAAAGGGGTTTACTGGGACGAGGACTCACTTTGTGCTGCTGGGGAAGCCTCGGTCAGAACAGTACAACACACTATTTTGTTATTGAATTAAGGTTTGGGGGTGAATGTGCATACTGCAGTGAGACATTACCTGTCCTAACATGTTGGGCTCACACAATAAAAGTCCTTCACCTGGATTAATAAATTGCCATGTTCATATAATATGCTCCCACCATCACTTCTACCGGTTCGCCTGATCCGGGCTGAACCGGGAGCAACCCACCTCTGGTTTGGTTCACACAGTCCACAAAGATGTCGCTTGATTTGCACAATCTATTATCCATAAATTATCCAGTTGATTTTTAGTCTAGACTTTAGTGTGTGATACAAACCCAAGTCAGGATTCTATCAGGACCTGATACAGATGTCTAAAGAAATAACCAAAATAACCTTTAACTAAAAAGGAGTCTGAAGCTGCAATGATTAAATATGAATGTTAGGCTATGGTAACAATGGATATATAAATAGCTTATGCACAAAAAGGCTTTTATCAAGATGGTATGAAGGACCAGAAACATGGTAGCCAATTGTCTATGGAGATTCTCAGCCATCAAGGTCATGGTTGCTGAAGAAGCTTCTTTGGATGAGAAGCGAAACGTTTTCAAAGAAAAACTAGGGAGTCCAAAAACTAGGGAGTCCCGGAGGAGGGCCTTCTCTGTGGCTGCTCCGGCCCTCTGGAACGAGCTCCCCGTGGAGATTCGANATATGTAACTTTGAGACAACACATTGCCCCACCCAGAGGTGAGTTCCGGATATTTTTACTGTTGGTTCGCTCAGGGATGTGCTTCACGCTCACTTGTGCTTGGCGCATGCTATGCGCGCATGCGAATTAGTGAAAATTTTGCTTTTGTGCATTTACAGAAGCCAAAAACAAGATGGCGGTGCGGACAGTATGGTCACATGTCCGCTGAAGTTACTACCTATTTGGCCAAACCGGACCAGACTGGTAGGAACCTACCCCTGCCCCCATCCCAGTTTAAAGATAATAGAAAACAGCTCACATTATTCAGATGGCATCAAATCAGTTATGATAGTTACCTTTTTCAATTGATGAGTCTTTATCATCACTAGAAAAAAAGCAAAGTAAAATGAAATAATGTCGCTATTCCTTTTCAGCCAGACTATATTTTCAATTGCCTGGAGAAACTCCCTTCTAAATCAAGGCCTCAGGGAAGATAATGCTATTTTCTATGTGGACCATTTATGAAGGCATTTGTCTGAAAGGTTTTGCAGTCATTTTATCTTTCTGCCTCCCATTTCTGTAAATGTTAGGTTGCATATAGAGGTTTACCACAGTCTCCTTCCCACATGGTGGAAGGCTTCAAGAACCAGATTATGAGCTGCAGCTTTGTATGGGTCTTTCTGCTTTCACCCCTTATGTATTTCAAAAGCTCTAGCAAGCCAATTTGAAGTCCTCATTAAAGCTTATTGAAGTACTCAGTGTCTGCACAACGCAGATACAGGTGGTCTTCAACTTACGACCACAATGGAGCCCAACATTTATGTTGTTAAGTGAGAAAGTTATTCAGATTTGCACCATTCTACCACTTTTCTTGCCACATTTGTTAAGTGAATCACTGCAGCTGTTAAATTAGCAGCACAATTGTTAAGTGAATTTGGTTTCCTCATTGGCTTTGCTTTGTCAGAAGGTCACAAAAAGCGATCAGGTGACTCCGGGACACTGCAACCATCATAAATGTGAGTCCATTGTCAAGCATCCGAATGAAAATCACGTGACCGTGGGGATGCTACAACGGTGATAAGTGTGGGGGGGAAAACAGCGATAAGTCACTTTTTTCAGTGATGTTGTAACTTCAAACGGTCACTAAATGAATTATCTTAGGTCGAGGACTACCTATAACTGCAATGATTAAAGCACTCAATATAGTAACATTTGAAGTAGATTGGGGGGAATGGGGGAAAAATCATAAGCGTGTGCCTCTCAAATATTGAACATAGCATGTGTTATGTGCATGCCTGTGAACAGAACGGTGGCTATCATCGCAAAGAAAACCTGTCTCCTTTATCTCCAGTGGTGGGTTTTGGCAGGTACGGCCTGGTATGCCCGTATCAGTAGTAGACGGGAGCAGCAGCCACTGTACCAGTACGGTGTTTCATTTGGCCCGCACGCCTGCACGCCTGCATTTCATACTTGGAGCCGAAGTGGCGCAGTGGTTAAATGCAGCACTGCAGGCTACTTCAGCTGACTGCAGTTCTGCAGTTCGGCTGTTCAAATCTCACCGGCTCAGNAAAAAGAGGGTGAAAATCTGGCTGCGTCTTATACACTGAATATAACATTTTTGGCCTCCCGAAACCCTGCCCCCTTCACCAAGATGGCTGTGCATAGCCTTATGGAGGCTTCCAGAGTGCCGCTGGGGGCTGGATAGGGCAAAAATGAGCGAAAAATGGGCCATTTTTAAATCAGTTTTGCCCCCCAAGCCCTGAGGAGCACTCTACAAGCCTCCTAAAGGCTATTCATGCCCTTTTTTTGAAGAAAAAATGAGCCCATTTTCATGAAAGACGGGCAGTTTTTGGGAGGTTTGCAAAGTGCAAATTTGCCTCTTAAAAATCTTGATGGGTCTTATGCTCCGGTGCATCTTATACTCCGAAAAATAGGGTACCTTGTAGACCACTGTTTGAAAGACAAAACCTCTCTGTACTCTATTTTGCTCCTTGGTTGTCTCAAAATAGTAGTCACACTGTGCACACTCTGAGAAACTTCTAGGGCACTATTGATGAATTGCCCTTCAGGAAGAAAGGAACATTATGAAATTTCCAATCATAATGAATTACAGGCTTTCTGTGGCATGGAAAAATATTGGAAGATGAGAAAATAGTGGACTACATGCCTGGTGACAGGATCCAGGATAGACACCATATTTTGCTTATGTAGATTATTCTACAAATACAACGGCCTGATGGGCCTCCTACTTTACAAGCATAGAGCAAAGGTTCCTGTTTCTGATGAAAATATTTATTCTTTCAACTATATAAAGAATTTTTTTTTATTAGGGGCCCTAATCCCCTGGGGGTTTCTCTTCAACTGTTGCAGATTGGGTCAGGTTGCTGGTTGATGTTCGAGAGAAAACTTTTGAAAGAGCAGTGGAGACTTTCTCAAACACAGATCGGTGGGTTGTTGCACTTCCCTCAAGGCTAGTGGTTGCAGTGACTTTTGCATCCTCTTGTTCTGTGGAATGAAACAGAGCTCTTGTCAAAGTTTGCATGCCTTAATATAGGGGTATCCAACCTTGGCAACTTTAAGCCTGGTGGACTTTAATTCCCAGAATTCCCCAGCTGGCTAAGGAATTCTGGGAGTTGAAGTCCGTCAGGTTTAAAGTTGCCAGGTTTGAGACCCCTGCCTTAATATATCATTGGGTATATAAATAGAGTCTAGGAAAGTATAGTGACAATGTGGGAAAACATTGTTATTCCAGGGGTGAAATGCTACCGGTTTGGACCGGTTCTCCTTAACCAGTAGTAAAAAATGCTACTGGTTCGGGCGAACTGCTATTTCCGGCGATCAGCTGTGACAGGTGATTTATATTAGCTAGAAAGCAGGATTTCTAGCTAATTTAAATTGCGTGGCACAGAGGATACCCTCTCTCGCTGATCTACTTACCTTTCAATCACGCTCAGGAGCAGGCTCCACCTACCCACCTGGACATCATCACATCCATTTTTGATGCTCTGCGCATGCACGGAAGGTCCTGTCCATGCACAGAGGTGGCGCGTGCACCCACATTTGCAAACCAGTAGCGAAGGTAAGTAGATTTCACCCCTGTGATATTCAAGGAGTTTAGTGTTCCTTCAGATTAAAAAATGTCTAAGTGGTTTAGAGTTTATTCTAAACTAACCTGTTTGTTTTTTACTCTTACTTACCAAATACAGGAAAAAGGGGAGGAATCTTCATGTAGTTTCAAAGCTTTTCTCACTGTGAAATTCTCAGACTCTCAATTCTCATGCTGGCGACATGTGCCAGACAATCAAAGGTCAAGTCCTGCAGTCTCCTGAGCATTGCAAGGCCATGAGCTGTGGTGGCACAGTGGTTAGAATGCAGCATTGCAGGCTAATTCTGTCGACTGCCAGGAGTTCAATCCTAATCGGCTCAAGGTTGACTCAGCCTTCCATTATTCTGAGGTCAGTAAAATGAGGACCCAGATTGTTGGGGGCAATATGCTGTAAAGTGTAAACCGCTTAGAGAGTACTGTAAAGCACTATGCAAAACGGTACATAAGTCTGAGTACTATTACTATTGCTCTGAAGTCATAATGACAGGGTTTTCATAAAAACCTTGGGGTTGTGTTGTTTATGGAGAGCTTCTGCACAGAATTTAGCATTAGGTATTATGTAAACTGGTTACCCATGGGGTATCTCTGCTGCCATTATTAAGGAGGTCCTAATAGCTTTGTAAGAAATTTGGGTATTATCTTGCTTGGTATGTATGCTTTTTTTGTTATGCTTTTAAATCTGTTCGCTTGAGCTAATAATAAAGCTTAAAATCCCTCTATTTATTTGTGTGTTTATTATTAAAAAGAACTAATTGCCTGGGCACTTGATCACTGTCCTGACACTTGAGAAAGCAGAAAGAAAGAGCAATTCTTTGATCAGTTTCTTTGTTCTGTGATAATCTCATTTCAGCAGGCTACCGGATGTCTCAGTACACCCTAAAATCTCAATTTCATTTTTAAAAATTTCCCATAATTAGAGATGTTGCAAGCTGCCTTAAGGTACTAAAAATTACATTCATGCATACATATCTACCCATCACACCACAAAAAAAATTATGTTGAAGAAATTAAAGGCACGAAAGTAAAATATGGTAGGAAAAAGTGAACTATGGTAGGAGCAGAGGGGAAAACAATGTGTTTTATAAAATGCTTGTTAGCAAAGCATGATAAGACCACCAATAATGAGCAGAAGTTGTACAGTGTCAAAAATCAGTCAGAGAGTCTTCCTGTTGATTTATGGAACTATTTACTTAAAGCAGCTTTTTTAAAAATTAAGAATTATTATCTGAGGCTCAACTTTCTCTAGCCCAATGCCACCCATATGCACCTCCTTGGCTTCAGATCCAACTCATCTGGGAAGTACCAGAGTAAGGAAGGCTGCTAGAGTATATCTAGACACCAAGGAGAGCTTCAGAGTAGTAGCTTTCAACTCTAACAGCTTAAAAAGGTGGGAACTTTGGTGTAAATGTGTGCATTAGTTAGATTTTTTTAAAAATTACTGGTGTATTTGCAAATTATTGCTAAACAAAGTAGTTGCTAATTCAGCTGAATTAGCAGTGACACAAAGTGTATCTCAGAAGCATAAAATGATCCTTTCCAATACTGAGTAGCCTTTCTCTTGCCAGCTATTTGGAACCCAGAATCTAATGTTTTTGAATCAACCTTGAAACATACCATAAATCGTACTAAAGTAGCACCAGGAGGACATCTAGTAGTTATTCCCAGCTCAGATGCTCTATTCCTCTCTGATTTTGACCAGAGTTAAAAAAAAGCAAAAGTTACGGGAAGCACACCACGTACCTGACTGACTCTGTGAAGCAGAGCCTGGGACTTTGACACTTTTGTCCTGATAGACAGAGGTAATCTGCAGAAGCAGAAAAATATAATGAGAAAATAAGAACACGTGACTTCTATTTTAAATTTATTCAGATTCTTGTTCCAGGAACTACAGGTAAATTTATCAGAATTGAGCTGCATATCCTTGAACTACCATTAGATGGCAGCACAAAAAATAAATCTACTACTGCCATTTATATGGGTCATTTGGATTTTTGCAGTCCACTTCCGGTAGTCCTAAATCAAATATTAGATGGGCAGTAGTTCTATAGAATCTAGGTTCACCCAAATGATTAAACCATGGGGGGCTAGTTTCTGCCTAGGTTTGATCCATGAATCCTAGTGGTGTACGTAGTTTATCATTCAGAAACTCACGGAACTTAATTCAATCATCATGATGGCTGCCTTATAATATGTAAAACACATTGATGAATTGACCCATTTTGAGGGCTTTACTCAAGGAGGGTTATTTACCTTCTCTGTCTTTGAGAGTCATGGTAGGGGCTGCATTAACAAAAGTTTATTTTTATTTAAATGTTATTTAAATAACATTTAATTATTAACCTCAACAGAGGCTAGGGTTGCATAACACTGAGCCCACCAGCAAAAGGTTTTCAATAGACCTACAAAGCACATTATGTGAATCCAGCTCAGGAGTCAGTATGTTTGGTGACTAGAAGGAAAGATGTTTTATCAGCCTTCACCATACTGGCAGGATTAATGAGAGACAATATTTGGGGGGAGGAGAGTATAGCCAATCAAGAGCCAGTGTAGAATGATTATTTAAGTGCTGGTATGGGATTCTAGTCCTCCCTTAGACACAGAGGCCTTGTCCCAATCATTCCCGCTCAGCCCAAATCATCATCAGGCACAGGGACAAGGCAGCTGACAAAGAAAACCTCTGGTCACATCATCCATGTGACCAAGGCAAACTGTGCATAACAAGCAGATCTTTTGCAACCAAACAGGCAAACACCAAGAAGAAGCAAATGTTGAGCAGCTAACAGATACCAGGCATCCAAAGCTCGAGGATGTTTTGGCTTTAATAAAAACAAGTAAATGATAAGGGGTGAGCATTGGAAAAAACCCTACATCCTCTGATGTAATGGAGCCCCCAAATTGATAATACTCATCAATGAAAAATTGATTGCCCCAAGAAACATGTGGCATCTTTGTTTGTCCCCAGCTACTATGGTATTTATAATCTATTTCTCTCTCTCTTTCTCCCTCCCTCCCTCTCTCTCCCATCTCTCGCCCTCTTTCTCTCTCTCTAATCTAATTTATATCCCATCTTTCTTTTTATAAATAACTTAAGGTGGTGAACACACACAACACTCCTTCCTCTTCCTATTTTCCCTACAACAACAACCTTGTGAGGTGGGTTGGGCTAAGAGAGTGAGTGACTGGCCCAAAGATGGCTTTCATGACTAAGGCAAGAGTAAAACTCAAGACCTCTGGCTTCTAGCCTGGTCCCTTAACCACTACATCAAACCGGTTTTCCAGTGCCCAGGATTTTCCACCTTCTAGCCTTTCTAGGATAGCCATATTTACTCAGGTAGCATCTTCTCTTTTCTTAAAAGTCATAAGCTTTTGCGTAGCTCATGAAAGCTTATCTCATCACACCTGAGACGCTTCTGAGGTGGTCCGAGTTGAAAAAATTAGCCGGCGACATTACCGTTGCCCAGAGGGGGGCGCACCCAGTTGGGGGATCCTTTCATGTCCCCGGCAGGAGTTGGAGTGAAGAGCTCACCTTGCCTGTCAGATCTGCCATCTTCAGCTTTGCTCTTTGCGCTTTGCTGGCAACCAGATCATAAATTGTTGGGAATGGGGAGAAGGGGAAGCAAGCAATTGGCATGTAGAGAGTAGAGATGAGCAGGGGGCGAGTGACAAGCTTGACAGAAGCCAGAGGTGTGAGAGCCGGTCTGTTCCAATCTTCAAGACCACGGAGCCCGGGAAAGGAATGCAAACTGCACCAAATGGCACCAAACATCCGAGCGGTTCCCAAAACACCCATGTTGTATGCCATTGGATGAAGACACACCGGGCAAGGGGGGAGGGCCAGGGAGAAGGGGAAAATTTATAACACTTGGCGTGGGAATTTTAATTCTAGCTTTATTTTTGCCGCAACCAGTAATCCTTAATAAAAGAACCTATCACTTCAATCAAATGGAGTCAAGGGTCTTTCTTTCCTAGGGACCTAGCTGGGCAGGCCTGACACCTCCCCTCCCACCCCCAGCAGCACACAGGTCTCAAATGTGGGCTTGCTAACCTCCAATCCGGTGTCCTAACCATATGAGCCACCACGCCCCTTATGAAAGCTTATGACTTTTACTAAAAGTTTTAGTCAGAAAAAGTGGTACTGAGCTCCTGGTTTTTACTCAGTGCCAGATATGGAGCTAGAAGCACATATGTACCTTCTAATGCTTTTACCAAGCTCCATTTTTACAAAGTTCTAAAACCAGAGGATTTTTTCCCCAAAGAAAAAAGTAAAAAAGGCTCCCCATCTCTAAAGGCAAGAATACTTTTATGAATATTAACACTTCACCTCAATGGCAGCTGTCTCTTCTGTATCCCGGGTAAGATGCATGCCAACAACAGCTGGAACAAAATTACAAGGAGGTCCCTGTTAGCATTTAAGTCCACTGTTTTTAAGGAGTAATAGTCTGCCCTATTGTTTTGGCAGGGAGGGGACAGTTCTATGTTCCTCCCCTCACAAAGCATGGACCTTGTAGTCCTCACTTTCCTGAAGGCTCTTTTAGCAAGGAAGTACTCATATGAACTTTGCAACTAAGGCAAAGATGAGCAAAATTTTAGTAGCTGGGATAGACATACTTAGAATTTTGGAGGTGACAGGGGAAGCAGATGATGATACAAATAGAGCAGGGTTATGAAATATCTGAGGATATTCTGCTTTTCTCCATTGGGCCTGGGGATTTCCAATTGTTTTATGTTTTTCTTAATATTTATGTGAGTTGCTTTTCATCTCAGTACATGGGGAAAGCTGTATTGCTCAAATTTCATGGCACAGCTGGAAGAGTCTATAACACCACAAAAAAATATGTAACTTTGAGGCTTCGAGGGGAGGAGCTGCCGCCGTCGGGAGCTCAACAAAGCTCCTGCCAGGACTCTGGTTCGTATATCTTATAA